ACGTAGCTTTTCATTTTTCGTTTCGAGTAATATTAATAACGAACGCTTCGGACTTTATCAAACAAAGTTATAACTAATTTCACGCTGTGTATGTGTAACAACAAACGAAAACCACAATTTTGTACTGTGGACACGCGAAAACGTATTCAATTTCGTAAGACGCGTGAATCATTTATCGTCGTTTCGCCGCGTTATGATATTCATAATACACACGCTATTATACGGCCGCAGTATTATGATTATTATAAATTATGATAATGACAGCTGTACAACAATACAAAATCAATTTAAGCTGTGTGGATTATTAACATTTACAGACGTGTTTTGCGCATCTAAGCTAAACAAAAACTCGTACGATTTAAATACGAATATAATTTAAAATACACAATTCATGTTCGAGTTAAATGGAAATATTTGTGTGTGAAGGTTTGAAAAAAAAATATCTGCAATGAGAAAAAAATCGAACCACAGACATTTGAATGAACTTATTTATTCATATATTTTGGTTTTTTAATATTGTACCTACCTACATTCCTCCGATTCTTTACGTGTACGTACAAATGTTGGCGTTATTATTTACCCTTTCTATATTTTTGTAACCAATAGAAAATTAAATTGTAAATTAACTAACGATTACTTATTATACTAATGATGAAATATAATGATGGGTTGGAAATGTAGTGAACCATTAAAGTTGTAATATCATCATATTATTATGATGTTGAGGTTTGAACTAAATTGTAGTTGCTAGTAAAGTGAAGTGAATGTAGACAAGCAAGTAGTGAAGTTGGACTTTTTAGTTTTTTGACACGGTATCCATGTGATGATAAATATTTGTATTAATTTGCACAAAATATACTGAATAAATTTATAACTTGAAATTATAATCAATCCGGCGGTATGGGAACAGTGAATTTAATTAATAATTAATTGCAATAAAATCTGTAACAGATTATTACTTAACAGTTATGATTATGTCATTAACCACGTAAGAAGTATAAAAATACGATGTACAATTATTAATTGTATAATAAATGTTATACTAATTCATGTATTATTATGAAATCGTTCGAGATTTTCTATTTCCATTCTTATTATGGTATTATTTTCGATTATAATAAATTGTATACAATATGTTTACAGCAGTTAACACACTGACACATAATAGTATTCATTGTACACCCGTATGGCTGTATTATAATTTATAACCATCAGATTATTAAATTTGATACAGAAAATGATTTATTTATATACTACCAAGCATATTTTTTTTATCGTTTTATCGTCTTTAACCGTCTTTCAAGTCTCGTACAACTGTAGTCGTAGTCTCGTCAACTATCAAATCCTATTGATTGAAAAACAAACGGGTTTAATATTTCCTTACAACGGATTTTCTTCAATTAATACGAGTGGAAAGCGCATAAAGTTGAACGGTGAAGAATGTTTATACCAAATACTAATTATTCTATTATATCATAACTATTATTGTTATATGTTTATAAATACAAAGCGATTACACAATTTCAACGCTGTTGTATTATGCAAGTAGATTGTTCAAATGGTATAGATAAGTTATTGTTAATCGAAAAATTAGCGAAATGCAATAAATAAAATCAACAATTAATAATGAGGTACTTATTAATCGCTTTTGTTGTTGTGAAAAGTGATTTATATAGAGTATCAATTCATGAAACGAATAAAGTAAATCGTTACTCACGAGAGAAGCGAGCAAATTTATAATACATAGAGTATAAATGGTTGATGTTTCACGACATGGCCTCTTCTGAATTCTAAGCTGACCCGCAGTAATAAAATCCTGGATACGTCACTGCTACGGCCCATACCAAAATCGTATGATTTATAATAAGAACGTACACTTATTTATGGACAATACTTAATGTATTCAATGAAAAGATAATGTCATAATTAGCATATGATAATCTTTTTGTAGGGCAATTGGACGCGGCCTAATCGTTATCGGCCATGATTTTTACTTATAGCTCGACAACATGAAAATAACCAACGCTAATTTCTTCAATAATTCAATTAAAAAATTAAAAATACGGGCACCGCGAAAGATCAATAAAACATTTCGTTGTTTGCCGTATATTTACGTGGGTCCCAACACCTTCTGAAAAATGCGAAATCATAAAAATGCGAAATTAATCATTAATCGTTTAAATTAACCGTTAATCAAACAATTAACCGTGTACGATATGATTTTCATTGTTACATCTTTATCGTATCAAAAATAAATAAACGCAATCTAATCTAATAATATCGTGTTTTTTACGTAATATGTTTTCTTTATTTCAATAGACGGCCGTGTAGGGAACGGTCGGACGACAGTTTTTTATCTGTTCGCTATTGACCGCAATAACAACTTCAAAATTCTTGACAAAATAATTATTTATAAACCATATCCCCCTACAATATTGTTAAAGTACACGAGTTATTATTTTTAATAGATCATTATTATTAATGCATAAATAATACGATGCAAAAACAAGCACAAGTTTCGAGTCGTGAGGCCCTTATAAAAAGGCAAAGGCAAAGGCCCTGATCGCCTCTCCCATCGTACCAGAACTGTACAGAATAGGAATGGCAAATCTTCGCACGCGTACCCAAGATGGCAAGTAATAAAATTTTGAGGGTACGCGAAAAATTCAAATATTTATATTATATTTTTATCTTTATTAAAAAATCGTGGTATTGAGCAATGAACCGTTAGCTGGTATGTAAATATTATTTTTAATTTAAAAATACTTCAAGTACAACGAATCACCATTTTCAATTCTTTATAACTAAGCGCTTATACGAGTATAGATTTTTATGAATTATATTGAAAGCTGTGAATATGAAAAAATCGAGCTATTAGCATAATCTCGTTTTGCATAAATCAGTGTGATCGAATTTATGATATCCAATACGTGATTTGAAGACATTCTTAGTATAGTATCACATACCATCAAAATTGAAAACCCTGTACGATAGCTTATTAAATTTTCCTAAATAAAAAGCTCATAGGTATGCGCATTATTATAATAATAATATACGACATTTTGTTTGCGGTCTGGAATTCATTCGTGGCCGGACATGCCGGACATTCATTCGTATACAACGATAATATATTATAAAAAAAAAAAAAAAATAATTTTTTCATATTGTTCTCCAAAGACGAAATATTGGTGGAGAAAAACTGAAAACTCAATCTCCGCTACATCCAAGTTATTTACACAAGGCCAAATTTCTCTGCGTGCCTATTGTTTTAACAAATAACAACCGCATAAATAATTAGAAATAACAACAATATTGCTGTAATCTTGTCACGAAAAGGTCGGACCGAATACGACGACGACGAACCTTTTCCATTCTCTAAGCGTCTCCATTATGTATATACGCAATGCGTCCCCTTTTGTATAATACTCCATAATTTAAGCCGGGATGTTGATTCGCAATCGGAGTTAAAAAAGAGTTCATAAAAAGATTTATGCATGCCCTTAACACAATGCGAATATCCGAATTGGTTAGAATTCGAATGAAATTTATCAGTATAATATGCTTAAATCAAATTAAATTCAAAACAAAATCCAAACTCAATGTTCGATAAATTGTCGTTTGAATATTAGTCATTAACAATAAATGTTAGATTTGTTTTTTTTTTCGACATTATGATGGCGTTGTGTTATGTAATTCGTGATTTTTATCACGGTTCATTCATAATTACGTAAGAAATGTTTTAAAACTATCTGAAAACCGAAAAATACAGTTTATATTCGACTATATTATTGTTATTATTAGACGAAAAAGCATTACGTAATACTCGAAACTTTCCGAGGGAAAAAACGCACAATTCATCGATATCCGGTGCCGAATGATAACGATAACGCGTAAGTAACTTCGACCGACACAGTTTGCGGCTCGCAGCGTGCACAAATGAACTTCTCATCTGTATTCAATGCGGTAACTTTCCATCGTATCAGCAGCGCGCACAGTAGTTCTAATGAAATGTGTCGCGAATTGAACAATAGATTCATCCGTCCAAAATTGTTAAGCCTATTTAATTCTTTGCCGTCCAGACTATTGTGTGTACATTGAGCATAAGTGCAAGGTTTCGATAGAACAAAACGGTAATTTAGAAAAGGAGAAGAAGTACATTTTACCTTTAACACGTTTTAATTGTTAATTTTTAAAGTTTAGTTTTTTTTTTAATTTACGAGGACGCCGCACCCGCATTGTTTCCGTCTAATAAACGTACAGTATGGTAAATTTGCGTTCAGTTGTTCAAATGTAGTGATTTAATATTAGAGTAAACTAACCTGTAATCAAATTTTAAGGGGAAAACATTATCTATGTTTTGTGAGAGGGTTTTTTCCGATATTTTAATTTTTTAACGTATTATGAGTACCTATGTAAAATGTCACAATTAAAAAAAAACCTCATAACTCGCATAACTCATAATTTTAAAATTAAAATATTGAAAGAAACCAACCAACAGAACACAGATAATATTAACTACATTTGAATTACACACATTTGCGGGCGTTGGTCGTCTTATGAGATGAATTACGTTTTCTTATAATATTCATGTGATGATAACATGTTGTTTGAGTTGCAAATAAATCTTACTGGTTAAAAGAAATTACTTATAACATCAGGATGACAAAACGAATAGATTTGGTAAAGAACGATTAATAAATTATAATTGTATATAATGTATAACCATAGACGATATGCTGTCACGAAAAACAAAGATAGCGATTTTATTATAACCGTTCACGATAAACGATGGGTCTGTGACGTAATGCGCAGTTAAAGTTGAACCGATGTGATTTTTTCAATATTTAGTACAAAATATTTCTACTCCATTTTTGTGGATTCCAATTAATAATTTTGTCATATCACTTTCAGGCTCGGATTACGAATATTGTAATACATTTTGCTTTTGGATGTTTTTCGTTCGATTTAATTAATATTTTGAATTTATGTTCGGTTTTCAGTGTTTGGACGAGGTGTGTTATACCGTTTCGCGGACTGCAGCCATGGGTCAACGCGGGCAGGTTCTACGCGAGGAAACCACTCGCAGCGCTCAAAACGCGTTCACCGTTTCCCCGGAAAGTTCGCCGGAACGTTCGGTCGGAATAGCCGAATGACATCAAACGTTTACCAATCTCAGTTGTACGTTTTTTATACGTTTTATTTGATGATTATCGCGACTACGGCCGCGGGCGGTTCCGAGGGGAAGCGCAATATCGCCATATTAAAAATAAATTAATTGTAAATCATAATTGCTCGGCAACGCGGTTTTTTTTTTTTTTTCATACGCCTACGTGTTCCCATACGCGGAACGCTCGAAACTACGGTTATTAATTTTTTCCTTTTTATCGCCCCACTCCGAGCCAACAAAGAACAACGACGGTGGGCATCCGGGGGGGGGGACGAGGGGGGGAAATAACAATAAAACGAAAACCCGGCCCCGTCCCCGTCCCTTCGCGCGGGATTCTCCGGACCGGGCGCGTTCCCGGCGCCGACGCGCGTCGGTCCGCCACCAGCCACCGGTTGCGCTAGCTGGCGCGCGGACGGCACGTCGGTCGCACCGCCGACGAACCGATCGGACGAGAGTGCCGCCCGTTCGGCGTTCATTTGCTGAGCGCGCGCGCCGACGCGCCGACGTACCGTTCTCGGTCGCTGCCCGCTTACCAGTCAGTCCGCAAGCCGAGCCCGTGCCGCGCAGACGTGCCCAACCCTCGGAGGACACTTTCCGACCAAACGATCGGCCGTTCTACCCGCGCACCGTAAGTATTCGCCACGACGTGCTCGTGCTTTTTTCAACCGCCGTCCGTTTATTTTATTTTATATTTCGATTCTTGTTTTTTGATTTTTTTTTCGAAACGGTTTTCCGATCGACGACGACCAGCTCATTCGATTTCTCGCCGATGATTCGATCGTCGTCTCGACTCGCGCGCACTGTAACGCTATTGATATTATATTCCTTACACCACCGTGTAGCGTCTGAACGTTATTTATTTATTACGTTTTTTTTTTTTCTTCCTTAACGTAATCGTAGTCGCCACGGCGGTATGATGATTATTATTATTAATATTATTATTGACGCGCGGGATCATTGATCTAATCGTCGGTGACCTTTGCGCGTTATTCACTGCGTTTCGTTACGTGTCCGTTTCGGACAAAACGATATAATATACACATCGCTTTGAACAAATCGATCCCCGCGCACGCTCTTACAATAGTATGCGTTTTCGTCGTTCGCTCCGTTTCCACATATTTATCTAAAACGTGGAAAAAATAACAAAAACGCGTCTGGCCATAAAATAATGTGTATCTTGGCAGTGGCTAGATCGCTCGATCGGTGATTAACCCGTCGCAGCTGCTATGTTTAATTTCGGAATCTCGTTAGCGTCGCAAATCGAAAACTTCTGTTCGCCCAGTGGTATACGCAACCGTGAAATAATAATAATATCATCCCGGTCGTCTAAGAAACTTTCGCACCCATTAGATTTCTTGAAAAGAAAAATAAATCAACCAACGGATCTACAAAAATGGTCGTGTATCACACCAGTGTTCTAATGTAAACCGATGGACATTTTTTGAATTCCAACTATCCTATTTTTGATGATATGGTTCGTAGTTCTTGGTTTTAAAAAGGCGTATAGAAAACGCAGGTATTTTAACACAATATTATATTATTATACCAATAACTTTTATTTTAAGTATTTGATGTCCGTGCGTTCATCCATTATGACCAAGGCATCAGCGACAATCACTACCTATATATATATTTGTATGACATAAGTAGATTTATTTCTCGCGAAAAATTCGGTTTCTCGTGAAAATCAGCAATATATATATACATATACAAAGAACATATAATATTACACTGAACGCTTTTTCGCACCTACTATGTATTTTTTGGAATAAATTGTAATCATTTTCATTTTAAGACTTCGGAAAAAAAAATTAACGAAAAATGTAATACCTACATATTACATATTACATACCTACATAATACTACCTAGTATTTTTGGTATTTAAGTATTCTTTATTATTATTTGTTTTAACATTTATTATAATTATAAGTTACGAATGAAAATTAACTCTATAGCGATTTTATAATATAATCGTGTCACTATTATAGGTACTATAACTTTTAGACTTTTACTAAAAATAAGTTTTAATGGAAATGTTGGTACCCGATAAAATATCTAGTTCCATTTATCCTTTTTTTTATAAACACGCTTTTGTTTTGGTTATTATTTCTAACTTGCAAAGAAATAGTTTTTATGATTTGACAAAATTGAATTTGAATTCCAAACTAAAAATTCTTAATAATTAAATTTCAAATACAACATATAAATATACATAAGTTATTATTAAATAGAAACTAGTTACATATTATCGTTATCGTAAAAAGTGTTGAGATGAATTTAATTTTCTCTGAATACTTATATAATGATTATAACAATAATATATGTAAATGTGATTTAATCATAAGTGGCAAGATTAAAATCAGTAAGCTAGCATTTGCAGGAATTTACATATTTTGTTCGAATATGTAATTGAATCATATTAAACGTGTAGTTTTCACAATACAATATTTGAAAACTTAAATTTAAATATGTTTCAAGCCTTTTATAGTAGTCGGAGAAAAATGCGAACGGGTTTAAAAAGTTACATTTTATCAAATTTTTCTTTTTTTTTCGGGACTGTATCGCAATGGCTTTTGACATTTTTAGTCTGGGTCACAGTGACAGGCCAGTCCCGCGCAAAGTAATTAAATCGCTCGCGTATTTTACACGTCTATAATAAAAAGCTACGGACAAATGAAGGGCAGAGGAAATTGAATAGTTTTCCATTGTATTCGACGATAATTAATGACAATACCGTTTTGTTTTATTATTATTATTATTATTGTTATTGTTATTGCAGTCGATGCTACATACATTTAATGAATTTTCATATTAATCGACGGCCAATACAACTCGGTAGGAATATTAACTCAAATACGTACGATTATTCCGAATAGTTTGCAGCAAAAATGTTCCGATATATTCCCGTAGAGGCGATGATGATAATAAAATTATTATAATAATTGTTTGCATGCAATTTCGTACCTGGCAGGTTGGTGGCAACTGGCCGTTTATTTTAGTGCATGCACGCTATTAAACACATGTGTTTGGTTAAATTTCACAACTCTGATTAATTATACTGTCCCACAGTAATTTTGAAATACGTACCGTACTTAAAATGTTCGCCTTTAAGGCAGTTGATAAAAATTTAAATTAATTAATTTTATTCATTATGAGTGTTGACTAGCGTTATTTTATATAATATATTCGTGTTAGGCACGTCACCGACCAATATTTAGTTATGCTCCATACTTTTTTCTTTGATATCATACATCACATAATTTTTCCCGACATTTTATTGAATTATACGGTAAACTGTAGTTACAAGCGAGTAATATAGTTGCAGCGTGTTCCCACAGAATCATAACGTTAATTTTTTATTTTCTCCTCTCTGTTAACACACACAGCGCTGCCCAGATTGATTATTTTTATACATGGTATAATATTTTTTATATTGAATTTATATCATTGTTATGAAAACATCTGGTGGATACGAATTATTACTTTTGGTTTACGTCATTCAGTTGTACGATTTATCACGATTGTAATATTTATGGACGAAAACCACGCAGAATCACCGTTTAAAACGAAGAAGATATGTGTAGTAGTCCTTCGGTGCTCGTCAACCCTTGCGTTGTGCAATGTGCGCACATAGAAAATGCGTATATAGTTGTCACTTGACCACCATTTTTTATTATCAGACTTATTTTGATTTATGGCCGTATGAGTCAAATAGTCATATATTTGTAGTTTCTGTAGGAAACAAAAATATTTGCTATTTCTATATTTATATATAAATGTCTGTTGTAGTGCTTTCAAATTAAATGTCTTATAAATGAAATGTCATTGTGACAAACAAATTCAATTACCTTTGTGGTTTTTAAAATTAAATACCATTTGATACAACAGTAGCTAATTAATATTAAAAAGCGATTGCATGAGTGAAAATATAGAAATTTAATTTACAGATATCTCACTTATTTATAAAAGTACACCTATGTCACTTATATTTATATAAATAAATATATTAAAATTTGAAAAAATAATAATCAAATGATAATTTGCACTTTATTTGAAATCCAATTAAATCGTTTAATAAAGTTGTTTCTCGTATTGAAGTTTTATTTGTTTGCTATGGTAATTATTAAGAGTATAATGATGACTGGATAGAAAATAACACGCATGTAGTCAAGTAAATACGATGATAGTTTATTTAATTTTCTATTTGAATTAGTAAAGTAGAAGTGATTTTCAATCATTTTTGGTAATTCATACGATTTGTAAGTTAGCTGTTATAGATCAAAAATACTTGTTTTAATATTTCTCAGATAACAATTTAATAATTACATATATTTTTTTAATAATTTAACTAGTATGGCTTTATCAACTGATCTTATACTTAAAAGTATATTATAGGTAGAAAAATATTAACATTTTGAAAAATAATATATATTAGTATACCATCTTATATCCAATGTCTACAATATTATAATTAGTTGGTTTTCGTTTTTATTTGGAGATTGTTTATCTTTATGTCGTTATTGATATATTGAACCATTTGGAAATTATAGCATATGTTGAAAACACGTGTTAAGTTAAAAGCAATGTTTACCGTAAGACCCAACTTCCTCGTTTCGATATTGAATTTCTACAATTCATCTATTTATTTATATACATATTGTTGATCAACAACGATCGATTGTATATTGTATAAATATATATTTATTTAAAAACTATTTTCAGCGTTTTTGAAATCGTTCTTTTACCCCTTATATATATACTACATTTTCCTTACGTGATTTCTGCGGACGTAATCACACGTATACGGCATAAAACCAAGTATAATCCCATTGTGACACGCGCAAACAATAGTTAACTGAGGGAACGAAACAGAAGGATTTGATGAATAAGAAGAAGAGAAACACGATAAATATAAATCAAAAGGGATAAAGCGGACGTGTGATACGTGACCGACGCCACCGGAGTCGACCTTTATTCCGTCGTTGTCTTACCCCCCTTCTCATAAAAATGTCCTTACAAAGTCTTAACCAAATGCACATGGTATTCAGCAGTGCGTTTGTGTTGTTTAATCTTGGTGGCGGCATAAACAATAATTTTTGGGAATGTCTTTGTTTTTTTTTCTCCGTACAATAATATGTATACGTATAATGTGTTTTAGATTTAGTCTTATTATTAATTTCATGCAATATCACGCGTAAAACGTTTAATAACAACACATTCACTTCTTATACACGACTAGAGTAGAAATAGTATTGTACAATCGGGGACTTACCGTATTTCGCGATTATGTATCGGCGACAGATGTAGGAATTTCGAAAGCAATAAAAAAACTTATGACCGAAATAATGTGTTCTGTGCATTACGTGGATACAGAATATCTTGTTCGACTGATATATTTATAGGTGTATATAGATAAGTTAATGAATTCGTTACGGTTTTATAATGGGAAAAAAACGACCAACGGAAAGAAAGAGAGTTTGCCAATCATCGGTGCATTGTTTTTCCGTCGCATCATTGCCAGTTATCGCGTTTCGTTAATATTCATTATTATAATACCGCAGTCTACAGACATACACAGACATGGGTGCTAACTTTAATATTACTTGTGACCGCGTGGGCTAAAAATA